CCTTGCCCCCTTTGCCCTTGTCGCTGCGGCGCCCGCTCGAAGCAGACGCAGTACCGGCCTTCTCAGCACCAAGGAGGTCGACAGCAGCAGCAGAGGCGACAGAGGGAAGAAGGGGGGAAGGAGAACACCCCTCAAAGAACGGGGTACGGGGGTCGCCACGAGAGGCACCTACAGCTATGATGCTAGCCTCAGCTACAAGCAGTTCCTTCTCGAGGAGGGCAATGGTGAGCTCAGTGGGGCAGCGAGCTAGGAAGTGATCCCTGACAGCACGCAGAGTGTCAGGGAGGCGGGTGACTAGGTGGTAGAGATTGAGCCAGAGTGGGGGGGGAGTGCGTGGCAAGGAACTCATCAAGCATGGCGGCACGGAAGCGGGCCTCACTAGTACAGAGGTGCATGATGAGGTCAGCGACTGTGTGGAACGAGGCCAGGTCGGTAAACAGATAGAGGAGGGATAGACGGCCTAGGGCTGCAGAGGCAAGTGAGGAGTAGCGAGCAATGACAGCTGTGTACAGTGCCTGTGCAGTCTTGTGCTGGCCAAAGTGCTCGCGCTCATCTATCGGCAGGGAGTTGCGAATAGCGAAGCGAGCGTGGGCATCACGAGTCTGCCACTGTGAGCGGGCAGTGATGTCAGCAGTAGCAGCAGAGGCAGTGACATGGCCTAGGGCGTGGTCGTACAGTGAGATGTCGTCCTTGGCTGTGAGCTGTAGATAGAGGTGCAGGTCGTCTAGCCAGGTGTCAAACTTCACTGGGCGGCCCTCAGCATCGAAAACTAGCACCTGTGGGCTAGCCATAGGAGCAGTAGGAGTAGCAGTAGGAGTAGGAGGATGAAGCAGGTAGGGCGGCTCGGTTTAGGTAGGGCGGCGCGGCTCGGGTGGGGCGGCGCGGTTCGGTTCGGGTCGCGCGGCTCGGCTCGGGTCGTGCGGCTCGGCTCGGGTCGCGCGGCTCGGTTCGGTCCTGGGCGGCTCAGTTCGGTCCTGGGCTGTGGCGGTCACGGGCCGTTCGGGGCCTGTAGGGGCGGTGAGCGCGGGGCCGACGGGGCCGTTCGGGGCCTCTAGGGAGGTGAGCGCGGGGCCGTAAAGGGGCCTCTAGGGGCCGACGGGGCCGTTCGGGGCCTCTAGGGGCCGACGGGGCCGTTCGGGGCCTCTAGAGAGGTGAGCGCGGGGCCGACGGGGCCGTAAGGGGCCTCTAGGGAGGTGAGCGCGGGGCCGACGGGGCCTTTCGAGGCCTCTAGGGAGGTGAGCGCGGGGCCGACGGGGCCGTTAGAGGCGATCGCGGGGCCGACAGGGGCCGCTAGGGGCGAGCGCGTGGGCCGTTCGGGGCCTCTAGGGGCGAGCGCGGGGCCGTAAATGGGCGAGTGCGGGGCCGTAAGGGGCAAGCGCGTGGGCCGACGGGGCCTTAAGGGGCGGGTCGCGGGTCGCTAAGGGGCGGGTCGCGGGTCGCGGGGCCTTAGAGGGCTGTGAAAACCGAGGCGCCCTAGGGCGCAGGTAGGTAGGTAGTGGTGGGCCCTAAAAAAATCGGTCCTAGGAAGGACCTGCTCTATACCATGTTGAAATGAATGAACAGGAATGAATGAACTAACAGTGAAAACAGTTCAAGTACCTAACCCTAGAATTGTGTACCCCCTATAGGCTAACCCACTGTAGCCTAAACAAGCAGAACATATATAATGTTTGACAGTGAACAGAGAAAAGTTTTCAGGAGAGAGAAGGCAGCATGCTCTTTCTCCCCCAACGTAAAAGCGATCCCCTTCCACAGCAGATCCGTCAGTGTGGCTGTTAACCTCGCCATGTCGGGGACAAACCGACGCACGTAATTAACGAACCCTAAAAAACTCTGCAGCTCCGTGATATTTGTTGGGGGGCGCCACGCTCTCCCCTTGTCCAACTTCTTTGGGTCGATCTCAACCCCAGCCTCCGAAATAACGTGCCCCAAAAACTCTAGCCTGTCCTGAAAAAACTCGCACTTTGAACCCTTGGTCAGTAGGCGGTGCTCGTCTAAAATTGTAAACAGTGCTTCCAGATCGGCTAAGTGCTGCTGCTTGTCGCGACTGTAGACGAGGATGTCGTCGAGGTAAAATATCATGCATTTATCTAAGAGTGGCCTAAACGCCTCGTTCAAAGTCATTTGAAATGTCGTCGGTGCGTTGGTCAGTCCGAAAGGCATCACGATGTACTCGAATGACCCGTACCTAGTCCTAGATGCTGTCTTGGCGCAGTCCGATGGCTCGACCCTGATCTGGTGGTAACCTCCTCATAAGTGAATTTTCGAAAAGACCCGTGCTGTTCGTAGTTGATATATCAATTTGTCGGCGCGGGGGATGGGGAATCGTGACTTGACCGTAACCCTGTTTAGTGCCCTGTATTCGATGCATATGCGAAACCCTCGATCTTTTTTCTGTGTGAACAGTATCGGTGCGGCGAATGGTGATGAGCTTGGTCGAATGAACCTTTCCTCTAACAGGCAATTTAACTGCTTCCTCAGTTCATCAAGCTTGGGCTGTGTTAGTCTGAACTTTTGCTGTACAGTTGGCTGTGCCCCCGATGAGAAAATGAGAACGAGAATGAATGACTAAGGAATGGAAGTGATACAAATATGCAACCCTAGAAATGTGTACCCCATATAGGCTACCCCACTATAGCCTACACAATATTACAATTTGACACACCCCCATGGGCAAAGTGGGGGAGAACAAGGGGTCACAAGACAAGTCAGGCAAAGCAAACAAAGCTCAGGGTGGATCATAACGTCACCACACAGTCCGAGCACAAGGTAAAGGCCACAAGGCCAGTTCACATGCAGGAGTACACATATATATATAAGGCTAAACAAGCAAGAGCAGGTATACATATATGTAAGAGTACAAGCAAGGTCAAGGGGTGAGCAAGTGAGGCAAGACAGGCACAAGACCCAGCTGAGTGCAGAAGCGCTGATGATCACAAGGCGGAAGTGCCTTGGTGAAAACATCAGCAGTGTTGGCCTCAGAGGCCACGTACGCAAGTCGCAACTGGCCACGCTGCTGCAACTCACGAGCAAGAAAGTAGCGGAGAGCAATGTGCTTCTATCTGTGCTCCAGGCGCTGCTCTCGACACAAGGCTAGCATGGCCTTGTTGTCTACGTACAGCACCGGAGGAGAACGAGGCGGCTCTCCGAGGTCACGCAGCAGGTAGGTAAGCCAGCGAAGCTCCTGTGCAGCCATGGCCCCGGCGTAGATCTCAGCCTCACAACTAGAGCCGAGAACAGAAGACGAGCGAGTAGCCCGCCACGAAACAGAGCCGGAACCAAGGCTGAAGGTGTAACCCTGTGACGATCGCTGCGTAGCCTGGTCGTCTGCCCAAGAAGCGTCCGCGTGCCTAGTGAGGACCACTCGACTCCGCCCTCCAAGCACTAGCCCCATGCCCGACGTACTGCACAAGTAGCGCAACACCCTCTTCGCTGCAGCCATGTGCTCTGGTCTGTGTCTCCCAGGAGCAACATAGCGTGCAAGAATGCTAAAAGGGTATGCAAGGTCAGGTTGTATGCAGGTGATTAGGTACATGAGGCAGCCAACAAGCTCTGCAAACGGGCCACTCAACTCTACGGACTCATCCGAAGGCAGAGCTGAGAGCGAGTGGCGAGTAGACCGAGGAGTGGCCTGAGGCGAGGAGTACGTGAAGCCGAAGCGCTGAAGGACCTGCTGCACCATGTGTGACTGAGTTAGGGTAATGGTGCGGCGTGCTCTGTCCCGGGTGATCTACAAGCCAAGGTAGCTGCGCAGTTCACCCAGGTCTGTGCACGTGTGTCTCTTCTGCAGCTTGGACTTCACGTGGGCGAGTCCAGAAGTGTCAGCTGTGGCAAAGACCAAGTCGTCGACGTACACGAGGATGTAGAACGGCGGCAGAAAGGTGTCGGTGCGTAGAAACAGCGACGGGTCAGCAGTAGAGGGAGCAAACCCAAGAGCCGCAAGTGTAGTCCTCAGTGTATCGTGCCACTCGCGCGGTGCCTGGGGGAGACCGTAGACTGGCCGCCGGAGGCTCCACTGGGTGCCAGGAGGGAAAGTCCCAGTGAAGCCAGGTGGACGGCGCAACCAGATCTCCTCGTGCAGGCTACCCTACAGGAAAGCAGTGTTGAAGTCAAGGGAGTGAAGCTCGTAGTCACGCTGAGCGGCTACGTGTAGCAGCACCCGAAGAGTGGTCATCTTCGGGGTGGGAGAGAAGGTCTGAAAGTAGTCAACTCCTTGCCGCTAACTGAAGCCACGAGCCACGTACCGCGCTTTGAAGACAGGTGGAGAGCCCGGCGGCCGCTTCATCCTGAAGATCCACATGCCACTGACGATGTTCGCCCCAGGAGGGGGAACCGCGTCAACTTAGGTGCCTGTGGACTTCCAGGAAGCCATCTCTGCATCCATAGCTGCCTGCCACTGAGAGGAGTAGGGATCCTCTACGGCCTCCGCGTAAGAGCGCGGAGTCGGGATGTCTATTGCATCTGGGTCTCCCTCAGGGGTAAGCAGTACGGACGCGAGATGAGGTGAAGCAGCAGCCAGACACTGGAACTCCTCCTGCCTGTCCTCAAGGACGTCCGTGCCAAGAGCACACTCACCCCCGACGGACGGAGGACAGACAGACGCAGACTCAGCAACAAGACTAGCAGCGTAGTCTAGACGACAGCGAGCAGCAAAGTCGACGAGCTCAGCAACAAGATCAGACGCAGCAGTGGACTCAAAGGAGGGGTCAGTGACAACAGTAGCAAGGAGATGCGTGACAGTAGGACTGGCAGCACGAAGAGAGTCCGACTGCGGGTCGGCAAGGGCAGGAAGAGAGGACTCAGGAGGAGAAGGCAAAGGGGCACGTAGAGGAGCAGTGGACGGACGCAGAGACATCCGGTGCGTGCCAGGGACAGGAGGAGGACGCTGACGCGTGTCAGAATCCCAACCACTAGACCATTGGGATAAAAGGGCTTGTTAAGTAGCGGGTCAGTGCGCCCATAACCCCCCAGGCCAACGTGCCTGTAACCCTTCCCTAGGATCAATCGGGGATCACCAGTGGACCTCTGACACCCCCCCGCACTGGGATGCCTGAAGTGCATACACCGGGATTCGAACCCGAGACCTTTGCTCTGATACCATGTCAGAATCCCAACCACTAGACCATTGGGATAAAAGGGCTTGTTAAGTAGCGGGTCAGTGCGCCCATAACCCCCCAAGCCAACGTGCCTGTAACCCTTCCCTAGGATCAATCGGGGATCACCAGTGGACCTCTGACAACGCGAACTGCGACCGCTAGTGCGAGCAGCACGAATAGGCGACGCAGGATGAGACGCAGGCTCACGACGCTCAGCAAGACCTCCAGTAGGACCAGTGTACGGAGAAGGAGAGGGCAGTGGGGAGGCCGGCGGTAACTGTGACTGCGACTGGACAGGCGGTGGACACTCTAAGGGAGGAGGAAGACCAAGAACCTGCTGAAAGAGCGGAACAAAGTACGGCCGAGGCCGCGCGGCGACTGCAGACACAGCAGGGACAGCACCAGCACCCCCAGCGGCAGCACCAGCGCCAACAGCACCTCCAGCTCGAGTGCCTCCAGCAGCACCAGTAGCACCCGCAGCAGGACCGCCGCCTGGACTGTCAGAAGTAGCCTCAGCGCCAACACCCTCATCAGGTCCGACTCCAGTAGCACTCGTAGGACTAGCACCTCCGAGACCGGCGGCACCAGCACCCTCGGTATCCGAAGAAGCACCAGCTCCAGTAGTACGCCTCCAGCGCCGGGCAAACCACTCGCGCAGCTCCTGTGGAGAGAGTAGCTCCCGCCGAGACGAAGCACCCGGAGAACCAGCAGGCCCAGCACCGCCAGACGCCACACGAGCAGGTCCAGCGGCCGCGGGCTCCGCACCCCCAGGCTCAGTAGCTCCAGACTCAGCACCCCCAGGCTCAGCAGCTCCAGACGCAGCACCCCCAGGCAAAGGACCCCCAGGCTCAGCACCCCCAGTCGTGGCACCCCCAGGCTCAGCACCCCAAGGCTCAGCATCCCCAGATGCAGCACCTCCAGGCTCAGAACCCACGCGCGCAGCACCCCCAGAGTCAGCACCCCCATGCTCAGCACCCGCAGCAGTACCAGAGTCACCAGCAACCTCGACTGGCTCAACTGCATCTACCTAGGACACACCTGAAGGGGCAGGACCCTGAGGGGGGAGGGGGTCTACCGGGGGGGGACCTGGCACAAGGAAGTGCGGTGGCGGGGGGAGGGAAGGAGTGCAGTAGGGGAAGAGGCGGTAGTAGGGTACTGACTCGTCGAACGTGACGTCCTGGGAGGACAGAACACGACGAGAGCTGGGGTGGTAGAACTGCCACCCAAGGGCGTCAGGGGGGAAGCCAAGGAAGACACAGGGAGCAGCACGAGGGGACAGCTTGTCCGCAGACAAGTCGCGGACAAACGCCCGAGATCCCCAGACACGGAACGCAGAAGCATCGCCGACCTTCCCCGTCCACAGCAAGGCTGGGGAGGTCTCCGGCCTGGAGACCCTGGGGTGAAGGTTGATCTGATGCGCCGCGTACCGAACCGCAAACGGCCACAGAAAATGGGGGGCAGCCGCATGCATCATGGACGTACGAGCGAGGTCCATGAGCAATCCCATTTTGCTGTGGAGAGTCCGGAAGCGTGAAGGTCTGGCGGATGCCTCGCGCACGACAGTAGGCTCGCAGAAGGCCAGAGGAGAACTCTCCGCCTCGGTCAGAGTGCAGACGCAGAACAGGAAAGTCCGTGGCGAAGCTCCTCCTGAGCTGGAGACGAGCTGCGCGGATCCAGTCGATCAACACCTCAGCGACATCACCCTTGCTGCGCAAGGGGAAGACTGTGGTGTAACGCGAGTAGTCGTCAACCACCAGCAGGAAGTAGCGCTCGTGACCATGTCCACGGACGCGGGCCGGGCCCCACACGTCCATGTGAAGCGTCTGCAGCGGGGCCTCTGTCGGGGGAGACTGAGAGGAGTGAGGGGCAGCTCGGAGCCGGCGCTCGACACAGGGGACACAGGAAGGACCAGGCGGCGTGAGTGTGGTGCGGTCTCGAAAGAAGGAGCGAGAAGCCCCTGAGTCAAGTGTGAAGGTGAGGGAGGCCGAAGCCGACGTGGTACCTGAGAGCGCAGACTCACCAGCACCTGAGGGCGCGGACGCACTGGCACCTAGAGCAGCAGCCTCACTAGTACCTAGAGCAGCAGTACCAATGCCCGGGTCGGGCGGGAAACACCGGGCGGCCAAAGCAGCGCTGGGTGGGGTGAGCACCCCCACACTGCTCACCCGTGCGGTCGCCGGAGCGGAGGACGTAGGTGCACGGGCCAAAACCCCCACCACACTGACGCTGCGTGTACCACTCACGGAGCTGCTAAGGAGGGGGGATGTCCCGAGAACGCTGCTGCTGCTGCTGCTGGCGCTGGCCACTCCCGGAGCCGCTCCGCTGAGAAGTACCACCTCGACCAGCTCCACCTCCTCCACCACCGCCGCCTCCACCTCCGCCGCCACCGCCGCCTCCGCTCCCACCGCTACCGCCACCGCCGCCTCCGCCTCCGCCGCTGCCACCGCCACCTCCACCCCCGGCACCACTCCCACCGCCACCCCCACTCCCTCCGCCGCCTCCACCGCCACCTCCACCACCCCCGCTAGATCCACCCGCGCCCTTGCCCCCCTTGCCCTTGCCAGAGCGGCGTCTCCCGCGGCAAACGCCGCACCGACCGACTCAAGACCAAGTAGGTCGGCCGCAGCAGCAGAGGCGACAGAGGGCAACAGGGGGGAAGGGGAACACCACTCAAAGATGGGGGTGCGAGGGTCACCACGAGAGGCTCCTACAGCGACTATGCTCTTCTCCGCTGCTAGGAGGGCCTTCACTAGGAGGTCAACAGTGAGAACGGTGGGACAGACTGAGAGAAAGTGGTCCTTGACTACGCGAAGGGAGTCAGGGAGGAGGGTGACTATGTAATAGAGAGTGATGTACATGGGGGGGGGGGTTCTTGGAGCAAAACTCAGCAGGCAGCGCGGCGCGGTAGCGAGTGTCACTAGTGCGGAGGTGCGTTATGAGGTCAGCAACTGTGGGAAATGCAGCAAGGTCAGGGAAGAGGTACGGTAGCATGAGGCGGCTCAGTGCAGCAGTGGCAAGGGAAGAGTAGCGCGCAACTACAGCGTCGTACAAGGTCTGAGCACTCTTGTACTGACTAAAGTGCGCGCGCTCAGTGATAGGCAGGTGGCGACGCACAGCAAGACGTGCAGCAGCATCGCGGGTGGCTCACTGAGAGCGAACAGTGGGATCAGCATCAGCAGCAGGTGCAGGAGAGGCGCCAGAGGTGAGGTCAAAGAGAGAAAGTCCGTCCGCCCTATTGCACTGTAAGAACAGCTGCAGGTCGTCGACCCAGACCTCAAAGTCAATGGCTCGACCCTCAGCGTCAAAAGCGAGGACACTAGGGGTAGCCATGACGACGGTAGACTAGCAGTGCAAGCAGTAGGGGAAGGGCACGCAGTGACAGAGAGCCTGTGCTCACCGGACAGGGCTGCTCGGGCGGCTCAACTGTAGGGCGACTCAGCGGCTCGGCTGCGGGGCGGCTCGGCTGCTCGGCGGCTCGGCGGCTCGGCGGCTGGGCGGCTTGGCTGTACGGCGGCTCGGCTGGTGGGGGGGGGGGGGGGGGGGGCGGGCGGCTCGGCGGCAGGGCGGCGCGGCGGTCTGCGGCTCGGGCGCGTTGCTGCAGGAGGGGAGAGCGGCGGGGCCGCAGCAGACGGGCGGCGGGACCCGTTGACGTAGGGCGGCGGGGCCGGTGAAGTAGGGCGGCGGGGCCCTTGAAGGCGGGCGGCGGGGCCCTTGAAGTAGGGCGGCGGGGCCGCAGGTGTAGGGCGGCGGGGCCGCAGACGTAGGGCGGCGGGGCTGCTGAAGTAGGGCGGCGGGGCCCGTTGAAGTAGGGCGGCGGGGCCGCGAAGTGGGGCGGCGGGGCCGCGAAGTGGGGCGGCGGGGCCGCAGCAGACGGGCGGCGGGGCCGCTGAAGAAGGGCGGCGGGGCCGCGAAGTGGGGCGGCGGGGCCTCAGCAGACGGGCAGCGGGGCCGTTGAAGCAGGGCGGCGGGGCCGTTGAAGCAGGGCGGCGGGGCCGCGAAGAGGGGCGGCGGGGCCGCTGAACAGGGCGGTGGGGCCGCGACGTAGAGCGGCGGGGCCGCGAAGTAGGGCGGCGGGGCCGTAGGAGTAGGGCGGCAAGGCCGCAGTTAGGGCGGCGGGGTCGCGACGTAGGGCGGCGGGGCCGCGAATGCGGGTGGCGGGGCCACGCTAGTAGGTGGCGGGGCCGCACGAACGGGCGACGGGGCCGTTAAGGTAGGGAGGGCCGCTAGGGCATAGGGGCCGCTAGGGCGGCTCGACGAGGTGAGAGCGCGACTCGGGCGGAGCGCGCTTCGGGCAGGAAAAAAAATTTCGAACTTTGGTGGGCCCTAGGCACAGTTCCCACAGGGGAACCTGCTCGATACCATGAGAAAATTAGAACGAGAATGAATGACTAAGGAATGGAAGTGATACAAATATGCAACCCTAGAAATGTGTACCCCATATAGGCTACCCCACTATAGCCTACACAATATTACAATTTGACACCCGATTCTAACTCTATTCGGTGATCGTGTGCCCGCTTAGGTGGCAGTCCCTCCGGTAAGTCATCCGGGAAAATCCCCGGGTGCCATTTCAGTAGTTCCTGTAGTTCGGGCGGTACCGCTGCCAGGCTTTTCTGAAAATCACTCGGCTGCTCTGTTTCTCCTACTAGTGCTATGTCCACCGCGTACACGTCAGCTCCAGCAGCGACAGCCCGCTTCATCGTGATGGCGTTCACGTGGACCGTTGAAGACTCGCGCGACTGCCAGCGAGGTAGCTTGACCCAGTTACCGCTACTTCGCACAGTGCAGCTACCCGTCGTCCAGTCGATTCGTGGGTTATACCGTCGCAGCCAATTACGTCCCAGTAAAATGTCTTGCCCATCCAATGTCGTCACGAGTATTTCCTGTGTAAACCCAAAGTTCCCCCGCAGCGGACTTTTACTCTCTCCACCTTTTCCCGTATAGCCAACGACGTGCCGTCGACTAAGCGTGCGTCTATCTCTTGTAAACACCGACTAAGTGTCAGTTGCAGCTTCCGTGCGGTCGCGGTATTAACTAAGCTGTGACTTGCAGCTCCGTCGAAAAAAAATCTTCACTGCTGCTCCCTGTATTTTCCTGTGAAACATTACTGGGCAATCCGTCGCTGTACCCTCCTTATTGATACGAGCTCGATTGATGGCGTGAATCGGTACTACGACACGGTGAGGGTTGGTGAGGTTGCGCGAGCAGGCAGTCTCGTCAGTAGTTGGCCCAAATTCTACTGACTGCTGGCGTTTCCCTGTCTCTAAGACTGCCTCCCCTGCTTTTCTCCGCGGCGCCTCAGCTCCTCTGGACTTTTACTATTGCGATGGCCCGGCCTATTGCAAGCAAAATAGTGCCCCTTAAACGGGTTTAGATAACTCGCCACCAGTTCATGGCGGGGCCCCTCAGCAGCGACTCGGCGTAGCGAATCTTCGCTGCGTCTGACTCGACGTGATTCGTGTCGAAGAAGACGTTCATCGTGAAGTGTTGGAATCACTGAACAGGAATGGATGAACTAGCAGTGAAATGAGTACAAGTACCTAACCCTAGAATTGTATACCCCCTATAGGCTAACCCACTGTAGCCTAAACTAACACAACATATATAATGTTTGACACACCCCCATAGGCAAAGTGGGGGAGAACTAGGGGTCACAAGACCAGTCAAGGCAAAGCAAGGCAAAACAAGCTCAGGGTGGATCTCAAGGATACCACACAAATTCCGAGCACAAGCAAGTGGTCACAAGACCAGTTCACATGCAGGTTTATAATAGAGCAAAAGGTACAATGATCACAACCTAACAAGAGTAAACATGCAGATATATATATAGAGATCACAGTACAAACAGACTCAAGAAGTAAGCAAGTGAGGTCCAGTAGGCACAAGGCCTAGAAGAGTGCAAAAGCGCTGATGGTCACAAGGCTGAAGCGCCTTGGTGAACACATCAGCAGTGTTGGCCTCAGAGGCCACGTAACGCAGGCAAAGCTGACCACGCTGCTGCAGCTCTCGAGCAAGGAAGTAACGCAGAGCAATGTGCTTCGTTCTGTGCTCCAGTCTGTGCTCCTCACACAAGGCAATGGCTGCCTTGTTGTCGACGTACAGCACTGGAGGAGAACGAGGCTGCTCTCCAAGGTCGGTCAGCAAGTAGGTGAGCCAGCGTAGCTCCTGGGCCGCCATGGCTGTGGCGTAGATCTCAGCCTCACAACTGGAGCTGAGAACAGAAGAAGAGCGAGTAGAACGCCAAGAAACAGAACCAGAGCCAAGACTGAAGGAGTAACCCTGAGACGACCGCTGAGTAGCCTGGTCGTCTGCCCAAGAAGCGTCTGAGTGCCCAGTGAGAACAACTGGGACTCGCCCTCCAAGCACTAGCCCCATGCCCGACGTACTGCACAAGTAGCGCAACACCCTCTTAGCTGCATCCATGTGCTCCTTCCGGTGACGGCCGGGAGCGACATAGCGTGCAAGAATGCTGAGAGGGTATGCAAGGTCTGGTCGAGTGCAGATCATCAGGTACATGAGGCAACCCACAAGCTCTGGATACGGGCCACTCGGCTCTACGGACTCATCCGAAGGCAGAGCTGAGAGCGAGTGACCGGTAGGTAGAGGAGTGGGCTGAGGCGAGGAGTACGTGAAGCGGAAGCGCTGAAGGACCTGCTGCACCATGTGTGACTGAGTCAAGGTGATGGTGCGGCGTGCTCTGTCCCGGGTGATCCGCAAGCCAAGATAGCTTGTCAGTTCACCCAGGTCTGTGCACGTGTGTCTCTTCTGCAGCTCCGACTTCACGTGGGCGAGTGCCACAGTGTCAGCAGTAGCA